GAATCCATTCCTTCTTGACACTAACATTTACTTCAACTATGTATCCTGCCTTTGCCCATCAATATATAATAGTCTAATGTTTTAAAAATCCAATAATACAAAGTAAACACAATGCAACTCAACTGTAAAGTGAAAATGCAAAACTTGAAAGTGCAGGATTTCATGAAATCTATGAAAATAATATTGAAAAAAGTACTCCATCTCACGGCAAGATCCTTGGGGAATAAAGGTCTGGCAGAATCAACCCAGCGCACGAAGAAGAAGGGAAAATCCAGCAAAGATGATAACAGAACAGGAATCAAGGAAGAAAATGTCAAGGGATTAAGAAAAATCTCTTGAGAAATTGCTAAAGCTCTCATAGTTTTGGTAAAACTGATGCACTAGTCTAATCTATATGATAAACCCTAAGAAAATCAAACAAAGTGAAGGACGCTATCAGACTATCACACAATTTTAGAGGAATAATCATACCAAGAAAGTACATCATTCTTTGTTAATTCTAAGAATTAGCACAGCTGTAATTACAACATAAATTTTATTAAATATATGGTAAAATAAATGCTTTCATTTTAGAAAAATCATCCCTAACAAATCTTTTTTTCATTAATGACTACAAAACTTTAGTCTTCATTTTAAATAGGTCCACTCTAATAAGTATTTTCAAAGTACTAATTTTCTCATTTCATAAGAATTTCTCATAAATGTGTATTCCTAAGTGGAGAAAGGCTATTATCTAAACTCTTAACAGTAGTTAAAACTGGGAGAGTAAAAGATAAAGGAAAATAATTAAGAATTAACTTTTTATACATATACCTCAGTATTGTTGAAATTTGTTACCATAAATGTAGTATTTTTTTATTATTATTATTATTATTTTCATCCTCACCCGAGGACATGCTTACTGATTTTAGAGAGAGGGGAAAGGAGGGAGAGAGGAGGGAAGAGAACATGCACGTGAGAGAGAAACAGGAGGCAAAAGGTTGCCTCCTGTATAATCCTCAACAAGGGACCAAAGCCACAACCCAGGCACGTGCCCTGACTGGAAATTGAACCCACAACTCTTAGTTCTACAGGCTGACGTTCCAACCGAACCACACCAGCCAGGGAATTTTGCATAAATACGGCATAATTAAAAACATAATCAGTAAAATTCAAAGATTTGCTATTGTTTTAGTATAAGAGGCCATTACTATAAACTGCTGTAGTGGAAAGCAAAAGCAATGAAAATTGATAAAACAGATCTTTACTGGACAAAATCACTATAATTAGGAAAAAGATGAATGAAAAAAGTGACCTCTTTAATATACTTGACAAGACAATAAAACAAGCAGCACATAAATTACCTGATGTTGAAAGACACCTTCAAATGTTGTAGAATGTTGAAGCAACCTCTACTTTTTGGTCAAGAATGATTTAGAATTACACTGTCCAATACAGTAGCCACTAGCCACACATAGCTACTGAGCACTTGAAAAGCAGCTAATCTAAATTGAGATGTGCTGTGCATGTAGAATATCCATAGATTTCAAAGAGTTGGTATACCACCCCAAAAAGTAAAAGGTTTCATTAATACTTTTTTATTATTTGTTGAAATGGTACTATTTTGAATATGACAGGTTACACAAACACATTTAAGTCATCTGTTTATTTTTGTATTTTTAAATGTGGATACTAGAGAATTTAAAATTACATATGTGGCCCATATTTGTGGTCCATGTTATACTTCTAAAGGGACAGCACTGGTCTTGTGACATAACCTTAATGTCACAAGAATGAACACTCTGCTTTTTTGCTTGTTTTGCCTGTTTCGTATTTTTTCACTTTTAGCGACAAGGGAATATACCAGGCCCAGAAATGAACTAAAAAAATAATGTATAAATAAGCTTTTCTCTGTACAAACACTTTTTTATTCCATATGTTCAAAATGATCCAAAAAAAAAAAAAAGCATCAAAAAAGTAGAGTCTACTTATGTTTCATCAATCAGAAACTAAGACAGATTAGACAACATTTGTATGTGGTAAGGTTACCCTCAACAAACTTAGGACCATTTATTCTAACTTAACTTTTTTTTTCCTGAAAAGAGGGCTTTTTATATATGTTTAAAACTGCAGAGGGCCCTAGACTCAGAATCATTTCTTTGCATATTAATAAAATAACTTCCTTTGTTTCACTATACTATCAAAAACATTCTTATTCTTATTGGTCTAGTGATAAACAGGCAAAACTAAGAGAGGCTAACATCCTTCAGTAGTTCAGCAGCATATATGTCCATCTGTAAAGGAATAAAAATATCTGAGAAGTAGACTTAGCATATTTATAACTAAATGTAATATATAAAATATTACATGACACAAGTAAACAAACAACTTCTAAGCACTATGATAATGATATACTTTTAAATTCTAGACATCCCCTCAGAAAGATTCACTATTCTTCTCTCCTTAATTTCATAGTTTGGTGAATGGTATCGCTAACAACCCAGTTATTCAAGCCAGAATACCTGGGAGTCATTATTCCTGACATTTCAATAAATTACCAAGCCCCGTTCATTCTACTTCTACACTGCTTCCAGTGATTTTCTAAAATACAAATCAGATTTGGTCATTTTCTTGTTCAAAATTCTTGAGTGGCTCTTAAAGTATCCTTATAGCATATTTGGCCCTACATGGTCTAGCTCCACTGCAACCACTAGAACTGCCTATCTGCCCAGCCACATCTCCAGCCACTTCTAATTTCAGAATTTAAATTTCATCAATTCCAATTCCTGGTCGTACTAGAAATATGCCCAGCTGCCTTCTTCCACCTCTGTGGTTTAAGGTATACTATTTCTCAGTTGGATACCTGCCTGACAGTCTCTACCTGACCTTCAATTCTCACCATAAAGGTTATCTCCCCTATAACTTTGTCACTGACTCCTCCTGATATATTATGGTACTACCTGTAAGTTCCCATTATATATTTTACCTCCATTAAAGCAATTATCATACTGCTTTGCAATCATGGGTTTGCATGTCCAGCTCTCTTCTAAACTGTTAGGTTCTTCAACTTAGGGCTACTTTTTGTCATTGTATCTACAATGCCATAGCACTGATTTTGGCACTAAATGTTAAATCACAGCAAGTGAGATTTTTCAATAGGTGATGCACCCCAACCTCCAATTAAGATTGGGAGCCCCATTCATTCATTCATTCCACAAACATTTATTGAATATTATTATATACCAAGTCCCACCCAGGCACTATGAACAAAGCAATGAACCTCTGGCTTCAAGAAGCTTACTCTGTAACGGTGGAGACAAAAAATAAGTATACATTTAAACATACAATGCCTGATACTGATAAAGGCAATGGAGTGAAATGAAGCAGGGACAGAGATCAATGTGATGGCAATGTATGTGGCTATTTTAGAAGGGAAGACAACATGATAAAGTGGTGAAGACCACTCCAAGGAGTTAATACCTGAGCTGATACTTGAATTGAGTCAGTGAGTCACACAAGTTATCTATGGAAAAGAGAATTCCAGGAAAAAAAAAAAGAGCAAAAATTCTGAGGCAGGACCAGGTTGAAAAGTCCACAGAATAACAGGAAAACAGATGTGGTAACAGCAGACTAAGAAGGGGAACAGATGTCAGTAAGATAGCTAAGGGCCAGAACAAGTAGGGGTTTGCAGGCCAAGGCAAGAGCTTTTACTCTGAACGTGCTGGGACATCACTGAAAGGTTTCAGCAAGAGAATGGTGTGACCTGACTTACCACTGTTAAAGAGCAATCAGGCAGAAGTGTGAGGTATTGACTATAGGAAGAGTAGGAGGAGGAAAATCTGTAAAGAAGTCTGCAAACTAACAAACATGCAGGATGTCTAGGGTAGTAACAGTGGACATAACAAGTAGTGGTTGGATCAATGATATATTCTGAAGGCAAAGACAGAATTTTGGTGGACTGAGTATATGGGATGTGAAGAAGGAAAGAGACAAGTCACTTGAGAGTTTTGGTCTGATAGACCTGAGTGATTACAGTTATACTGACTAAAGAAAGACCAGGGAAGGAAATGGAAAAAAAGGAATCAGAAATTATGATTTGGATATTTTATATTTGAATGCCTGGGAGATATCCTATATAGTTGTTAAGGGAGCAATTGGATATACAAGTTTAAAGCTCAGAGGCAGCATAAAAATTGGAGATAAAAATTCAAGCCAAGGAATAGGATAAGACCATCTAGTAGTAATAAAGACAGAAGGCCAAGGAGATTGGGTCATGGGGGAGCTAAACCCTTAAAGGTCACAAAGATGAAATGTGGCCTGCAAAAGAGACTAAAGAAGAAAACACAAGTAGCATCCTAGAAGCCATGTGAAGAAAATATTTTGAAAGGCAAGAGGAATAATCTGTATTAAATGTAAAGGATGAAATAGGAAGAACTGAGAATTTTTCTACTGAATTTGACAAGACAGAGGTTGCTGGTGATATTAGAACCATTTCAGCAGGATTAGAGAGACAAATACCTCATTGGAATGGGTTAGAGAACAAGTTGAGGTAAGGAAGAATGATATAATAGGAAGGGAAGAACTGATAATGCCAATGGAGGATGGGGAGGACTATAATAAAGGCATATTTCCTATAGGTTTCAAATACTGGAACAAAAATGAGCAACTATAAGATTAGAAAGTCTATCAATTCCTGCTTTGTCATATCTTTATTAGAAATGCAAGAGGAGTATTAAGTAGAATATGATATTCTGAATTGCTCAATTATTCTCCTCAGGACAGTTAAGGCACCTTGAGCCTCAGAATTTACATAAATCAAGCTCACATATTCAACATCTTTCTTAAAAGTTATTTTTGCTTTAGCGAAGTTCAGGATTCATTAAAGCCTGCACAAAATCAGTTCTTCAGTCATTTGAATTCAATCAGTCTAAGGAACACAAATTTTGCTTCTTTAGCAATGCCAACAGCATATCTTTGGAGTACTGGGTGATCTTGTGAATGTTGCAGTTAAATTCACTTACAAACTTCTATAGGGGTCTCCGTGTTCTGATGACAAAATGATTACAAAGTTCTTTATCTTGGTCACTATGGGGGCTACTGCCTGAAGAATGAAGTATCTAAGTAGAAAAGGAAAAAAAAAGATTTCTTTAAACAGGTTACCCTTTTTAAAGATAATAGATGGCTCAAAGCTCTGTAATAGAGGATAGTTTTATGAAAAAAATTAATGAAGAATAAAGACCAAAAAAAGAATATTTCTATATTTTCCCTAACATAAAAAAGCATTATACAATAAATCTTTTTATTAAACCTGTATGTTCACTTCACAAAGATAACCACTATTAACATTTTGCTGTACATGCATCTAGACCTTTTTCTATTTTTTAAAAAGCTCTGTGAACGAGACTCACCTGCTATAAACACAGATTCCTATACAGAAAGACTAAGCCAGTTCTTTTCAAAAATTTTTTGCACACCACTTAAAAACATGTCATGACACAGTACAAATTCATACATATAATGTGATGGGAAAAAGTTCCATAAACTACTTACCATTTGCACTGTTATTTTTAAATCTATTTCATTATTTAATTTAAAAAATTTTAGATTCTTATCATTTAAAATCAAATTTTTTCACTAAATTGCTTCATTTGATTGTTTTAAAAACATTATATTAAAACAGCATATCCAACATCAGAAACTTTCATATCAGGAATGAAAAAGAATCTCTATTTTAAATGATTTGGAATTTTGGTTGTAGAACAAAATAAAAGGGAAAGTAAAACATTAAGTAAAAAATATAAGATTATACCACCTAACCAAGAGTCTTTATCAAAATAATAAAGTTAGGAATATATTAAATTTCTACATTTTCAAGATCCTCCCCTCCCAAAGTCAAGCACATTCTGCAAATAACCAAGAAATGTCCTTCTTCTGCAAAAGAGCTTCACTTTAAAACATACTTTACTTTATCCAGCACAACGGAGGCACTTGTAATATGAAAAAGTATACTTGAATAGCAGAGAAATGGCTTCATATTTTAAAAACTCTAAATCTGCTAATGAACCACAACTGATTCTCCTGTAGTTTTCTTAACACATCCTCCCATAAATGAACTTGCACTAGTTAATGCCATGACATATTTCATACTTAAAAATGCAAAATAATTCCTACATCTACTTGGAGGTTTATTCTTACTTCTATTCAAACCAGGTTTATAAGATACATGTTGTAATTTAAATTAACAGGAAAACAACATTTTAAACCAGGTATTATTTAGAGGATCTTACACAGACCTTATTCAAAGGTATGCAGGAAGCATTAATTAATGGGAAACAGAATGAGCAGACAATCAGCTCTATTCAAACTACTAAACTGGCCGTGCACAAAGTGACAGGTTGAAGCCTTATTGTGACAGGCTGCTCTCACCAACACACAACACAACTATGTCACGACCTCCAAATTACTGTTTTTTTTAAAGCATAGTACCTGCTTTTTATTGTTTCTTTCTCTTCCCCACCTGTCACTTCTTGCTACTCTAAGCATTTTTCTCTCTCCATCTAATGAGTATTGTTAAATTCCAGCATGTGCAAATTACATACAAAATAAGGAAAAAAAAAAAGGCTTCTAAGTAAGGATCTGAGATGCTTTTCATTTGAGCAAAGCGTATGAACTTTAATATATGAACATTGTGATACCTATTTTGGCCCCTTACCAGATATTATTTGCTTACTTGGTGACATTCAAAATATAACTTCTTCATTTAAGCCTCCCAACCCTACAAAATGATCCTACCAGTCCAATTGTACAGACAAGACACAAGGATATTAAATAAAATGCCAAAGGCCAAAAAACTAGAATGTGGCTGATTCTAATCTTGATCATCTGCCTCCAATGTTTGTGCTCCTAACTGCCTAATGGCAACATGAACATACCAGTGTGTTTTAGTGCCCTCCATGTTAATACCTTTGACCATCCTCCAGGAAAGACAGGAATAAATGCATCAATTAGGAGATCAGAAATCCTAACTACCTCCTTTCACCTCTTCAAAAGCTGCTCCAAAAGACGTAACTGAGCCATAAAAATGAAAAGCCAGAGGAACACTAGTAGGTCAGCAAAGCTGATGAGGGAGTTTTCAGAGGTCTAGCCTTGTATATGATTAGACTGTGCCTGTCCTTCAGTAACTCTAAATCCAAGACTCTCCATTGCCATTTGAAGGCCTACTTGCCAAGGATGGTTCAGGACTGTTCCTTTTGACATGCAGCCTTAAATGGTCTCTGAATGCCTACTGCATGTGGTAGATGTCAATAAATATTCCTTGAGTAAATGTGGCGTAGGTATTTTCTACTCCCTGCTGCTATAACAAACCGACTTTACCTCTCAATTATACCTTCAGCTTCCTGAAAGCAAGAAATGCCTTATTGTTGTTATATCCTCAATGCCCAGCACCATTCCTGGCACATGGATGGTATTCAATAAATGACTGGTAAATATGCAAAAATAAAAACAAATGCTCCTAACACAAAGCAACAGTAATCCAGATGTTTTTCCTTAATTTGAGACTGTGAACAGATGAAAGGTATGTGTATTCTTGATGAAAATTAAGAATTCTTTATGGTTATTTTTTAATTCAATTCATTAGCTATTTTCTTACTAACACAGACTCTTTAACTTGTATATATGCAAATTAATGGTGAGAGCAAGATTACACCAGAGCCAGATTAAAGGCCTATCTTCCGTACCTGGTTCACTCTTGAAAACCAAAATGTACTACCACCATCAAAGAAATGATGCTCTACATTTTAAAAGTATTACCCATTTTTACATATTGTTAATATACAGACATACCCCAATTATGAAAAATGCTGAAAAGCATTAAGATCATAAATGTATCTGAGATTATAAAAACCTTATAGTATGTTAGATTTAAAAAACTGTACATGGCAATGTAAATTAAATGTATACTACCCTAACAAAGTTAATGAATGAAGCACTGTACTAAGTGCTCATATATATTTTCTCATTTAACCATCATAAATCCTTGAGGTCTGTATAATTATTATTACCATTTTACAGATAAGGCAGCTAACACTCAGGTCATACATCTAGCTAGTAAGTGTGGGAGCCAGAACTGAAACCTAGCTTTGACTGATACTCCTGCTCTTCAGTGCTCACAACTCTACAACCCAAAGTATATCCTCAGCAAAGAACTCTAAATTTTCTAAATCACAACTGCCTAAGTTTAACACTATAATGTACCATATTTAAAGTCATTATTTTGAGAAGTAAAAGAAAATTATTTACCTTCATGAACTCCACACCCACCTTCCTACCTTAACCACTTTTGAAACCTTGAATCATAGGCTTTTTATCACTAACTTTCCCTTTTCTGAAAATCACACTTTGCCCTCTCAATACTTTGAAAACTCTGTTGGCACCCACCACTGTGTTCTGCATAAAACTTGCCACAGCTATTAACAGTGGAGGTCACTACCTCAAGTGACTCTAGAGTCTTAGAAAACTTGAACTCTGTAATAGAAGTTCTAAAAGGTTTCTATACTATCCACTGCACTAATGTTGAATAAAAACATCTGGGAAAACCAAGAAAATTATGTGATTAAATATAGTTTGACTCTGCATGGAACAGTTCTTTGAGAAGATCAATGACATGTTATTTTTGTTCCCAAAGAGCAGGGAAGCTGGTTTGAAGATTTTATTTGCTTATATACCAAGAGGCTAAACATCAACACTGAAGGAATCATTGTCTTCTGTTTTTCTCAATACTCAAAAACAATCAGGGAAGAGAACTTTATTCGCCATGACTTAACTATTATTGAAATATTGTTTCTTTTCCCCTGCTTCTGACTTACTGCCACCCAAAACCTCAATGACTTTTGAATCTTGGACCATGAATGGTTGTATTTATTAAAGTAAACCAAGGATATTTTCTTCTACTCTCTCTCTCAAGGGAGGAAGAAAGGAAACTTGGAAGTTATACAGAAACATACCAAGATTTTTATTTTACTGCACACACTTCAAGTTTTCCCTCTCCCTCACTCATTCAGCAAGTTCCACTGATCTTCACACGTAAGTATATCTTTAATCTGTCCAGTTTCCCTATCTTTAATATACTCCAGACTAAACCAACACACACAACTGCCCAAACTACTGTAAAACCCATCTAACTTGGTCAGTTTTGCTTCCTTTCTATTCATCTTCATCTTGCTTCCAGAATAACCCTTTTAAAAACAATTAGCTGCTCAAACATCCTCCAACCCCCAAACCTTTCAATGACTTCCCATCATTCTTGTGATAAGATCAACTTTTTAAACATATCTTACAAAACTCTTCCTAACATGACTATAATCAATTTCTCTTAGTTTTTCTCACTTCTGTACTTATATGCTATAGAGTAGGGCAAAAGTACGTTTACAGTTGTTCATAAAGAATACAATAATAATGAAAGAAGAAACTCAGTGTTTCGCATATACATAACTGGAAGCCTACTTTTGACACACCCTGTACAACCACATCAAACTTCTTTCAGATTCTTGAACTCTCCAAGTTGTTTGTTTTATGGAGTTTTTCTCATCTTAGCCTCTACACAGTCTCTTCCTTCTAACTAGCCTACTCCCCTGCAGCCTCCTAACCATCTTCACCTACCTAATTTCTATATAACCTTTAGGTCTCCACCACAGCTTTTTCTCTGAGGTTCTGAGATAATCATGCTAGAGTAGACTAGGCACCTCTGCCATATACTTCTCCTGTTACAGCTCTTATATTTTACTATAATTACTTCTTTGTCTAGTTACCCGCAGCATACTATTTGCTTATTAGAAAGGTAATTATGTCTTCTTGTTCATCATTGTATCCCCAATACTTTACCACAGTGTCTGGGCATACAGCACAGACTCAATGCTGTTTGTTCTGTAGAATGAATAAATGAAAGAATGAACAAACAAAACAATGTGGGGATAGAAATTGAAAAGGGAAAAATTTAAATGGTATTCTGATCAGCGAAAATCCCATATCAAAATCACATCCTCATATAAATAACTGGGACTTCTGGATTCTGCTTATTTCATAGAAAGGTAAAAAATGCCATTTTCACTCTTAAAACAAAATAAAAGGTGAGTAATGTGCAAAATCATTAACTTTTTGAACTCATCAGAGAAGCAACTAACCCAAAATGTAAAGAAAGATGACAGGCTCACTTCCTTACCTGTAGTAAATGCTGGACAGCATACATGCCAGCAAGAACTCAGTTGAAACGTTTTAAAAATTGCTAAAGGCTAAATGTAGGCTATCATGAGAATATAGAACCCTTGAAAAGCATAGAAACAAGGAGATTTCTCACCCACTCACAGAATCTTCTCCACAGACCGTCCCGAAGTGTGTTAGATTTCAGATATTATCAAGCTGATTCTAAAATAGACAGAGAGAGGCAAAGGAACTACAATAGCCAAAACAATTCTGAAAAAATAAAGTTGGAGAACTCACAGTATCTGATTTCAAACTTACTGTAAAGTAATCAAACCAGTGTGGTACTGCAGAAAGGGTGGCTGTCAAAAAAAAAAAAAAAAGAGAGACCAGGAATAGACTCACATATATGATCAACTGATTTTCAACAAGATAAAAAGGGAATTTGAAAAAAAAGAATAGTATTTGTAATTAATGGTGCTAAAAAAAATTGATATAACAAGAAGAAGATAATTTCTATCCATATGTCACAGTAAATACAAAAATTAAGTCAAAATGAATCAAAGCCCTGTAACACTACTAGAAGAAAATACAAGAGAAAATCTTTGTGACTTTGGGTTAGGCAATGATTTCTTAGATACAACCCCAAAATCATTATTCATAAAATTAAAAAATGTTTAAATCAATAAACTGGACGTCAGCAAAATTAAGAACTTCTGCCCTTCAAAGACACTGTTAAGAGAGTGAAAAGAAACCACAGATAGGAGAAAATATTTGCAAATCACATAACTGATAAAAGGCTTTTATCTAGAATATATAATGAAACTCTCAAAACTCAGTATCCAAAAGCCAAAAATTTGAACTTCATCAAAGAAGTTATAAAGATGGCAAATAAGCACACCAAAAACTGTTAACGTCGTTTATCACTAGAGAAATACAATTCCATTTATATAAAATTCTAGAAAAGGCAAAACTTTAAGGACAGGAAATATATCAATAGTTGCCAGAATCGTAGGGGTTGACAACAAAGGGGTACAGAGGAATTTTTGGCTTGATGGAATTGTTCTATATTTTAATTATATGGGAGTTACATGACTGTTGCTTTTGTCAAAATTCACAGAATATATTCTTTAAATGACAAATTTTACTGTACGTAAGTTATATCTTCACTCTTTAAAGAAATTCACATTCTGTAGCAATTCCTACTAAAATACAGCTGACAGCACTGACTCATTTCTGATTCTTGGCTTGAAAATATACCTACCTAATGCTAGTGAGTAATTAGTGCAACTGTAATGAAGTTACATTAGTAAGACTAAAGATCAATTTCTTTCTTAAAACTCGAGGCTATAGTCTTTCCTAACTCTGCAGTCATTACTTGAAACTTCCATGACTTTATTTAATTTTGCATGAATAAAGACTGTAAAACTTAGTCTCCTTTAACTATCAACTCTACTATCTACTTCATACATAACCAAACCACACAATTCTTTGCATTGCACAGACAGTTATATAAACTATATTTTTAATCTGGAAAGTTTTGTTCTGACAAGCCCAAATGACATTAAGTATGTCCATATATAATAATTTCTTTCTAAAACACACTTTTTCAAAATTCCTTGCTCAAAAACCTTAGTGGCTCCCCAGTCTACAAGATAGAAACTAAGCTTACCTGGCATTCAAGGCTCTCCTCAATTTGGTGCTAGCCTATTGTTTCAATCATGTTTCTAGCACTTTTAGACACAAATCCTCCATTCTGCAACTGGATGGCCTCAACAGTCTGTTCATGCCAACTTCTGAAATGCCCTCTTTGAATTATCTCAGTTTAAACAATCCTACTCACTATTTATTCAAAAGGCTTATCTCAAATCCAGTTTTTTCCTTTGACTATTTGAAGACACATTGATTTCACCCTTCTGTGGTTTCTTGTGCATTCATTATCTATAGTATTCATTTGTCATCATATACTACCTTATATTCTTGTTTAAATGTTTCATTTATAAATGTCATCTCATCCTTTATAATATAGTTTCCTAAGGGCAGATGCTGTTTCTCACATGCCAATGCACTCCCAGGAACACAAAAGGTACTCAATAAATATTCAGAGAAAAAAATTAATGTGGAATTTTATTTTAAATTAATTTTAAATGACTTTAAATTTTTAATTAATTTTAAATTCACTTACTGTACTTAACTTCCTGGAAAAGCCTATTTTAATAACTTGATAAACCTAAGCTAGAGACAGTATACTTCTGCTCACTGAGATCTGCCACTGGATCTCATTTATCTTTTTATTTCCAGAGTTGGAATACAGTACCTGACATAACACATGGAAAAGACTCAAATAAATGTTTAATTTAATTTTATTTTCTAAGGCCACAAGGTAAGAAATGGAATCCTGGAGTGCTATCCCAATCCTCCCATGATTATATTAGTGCCTTGAAATGTCCTCTAACGTTTCATATTTATTAACAGAATCTCCCTAAATAGACTACAAATACCTCAAAGACAAAAACTGTGCTTTCTCCTCTCTTTAAGGCTTGCAGAGCAACTATCATGGTGTCAAGTCCACGCATAGTAGGTAGGCACTATTCCTATCAGATTTCTTTATAGTAACATAAAGGAAGCTTATATAACACTTCTCTGCCCCATGTAAAAACACACCAGTTACTCTTCCTACTGGGAAGGTTTATTTTTCATCATCTTTGGCACAAATTCTAGAATGCTATCTGCCAGGTCCCATGCCCCAATAAATATGCATCCACAAACAATTATGAAGACAGATAGCTTATGGGGAGGGGGCACCCTCTGGTCAGGTCCCAATGCTGGCCTGTGGTTAGGGTGAAGGGTAAGCAGGGGGAGGGGTGTGGCCCTGTGATTAATCACTGCCCACTCTACTTAGGGGTATTTATCACAGCCCGCTGTCAGGTAAATCACTGGAAAAACACCTCTTCAGTAATTAATGTGAAGTGACGGATGGACAGCCCCTGGGCCCATTAATCAGGAACATCAGCAGCCTACCGAGATTATGAATGTCAGGATGCATAAACTGCCGGTGGATCAATAGGCCCAGGAATCCATCCAAGACACTCATTTCCGAGGCATCTCCGGTACATTAGGCTCCCGGACCCCTCCCCCATTCTGAAATGAAAAGCAAGGCTTCAGAACAAAGAACAGGAGCTGAGGTCTGAAGTGACCACTGCAAAAAAAACCCAAAAAAAACCCCACCAAAAACAAAAAAACAAAACAAAAAAAACCAACCATCAGGGAAGCTGCCCATAATTAGAGAAGGTACCAGGTAGCAACATGAGCACAGAACTATACTGACCAGGAGGCTCTCTGAAGGTTCAGTGCCCTGGAAAAGCAGGGGAACCAGGAAGATAACAGTTAACAGAGCCTGACTATCCATTTTAGGATAATCCAGCTTCTTTCTGCTAATCTTTTACCAATTTTTCTGTCCACATTTTCTTTCCTTTCATATTGGCAGCACTAATAAAGAGTAGAGAGAAAAGAAAGAAAATTCAATTTCTGCTACCTAACAACCTAGGTAAAAAATTTATTCAAAAGGACAAAGAATCTGTACAAAATAAAATCACTGAATTATCCTTGAATTTAATTTAGCCTCATTCCCTCATTACCATGACAAGCTGGGAATTGCCAGCAGAAGTACCCACAATTCTTCTTTTAAGAAGAAGGTGGTCTTCCTGATTCATTGCCATTTACAAAGCATTCTACCAATATAATATACAGGTTAAAGGCTAAACTGTGTGATGGGATTCCAGCAAGATGAAATCACATCTTAATTCTATTTCTTCTCCAAGTCAAACAAAAAAATTCTCCATCAAAAAGGTCTGCTCAACCTGTAAAACAATAGGGAGCTGAAAGAGAATTGTTTGATCGGCATGCCAAAGTTAGTCAATTTTGTATGGGAAATAAGGCTGTGCTTCAGCCTCATATTGAACACCCTCTAGGCTAACGGGAATGAGACTGTGCTTGCTACCACATCCCGCCAAACCCCAGCACTGTGCTTTGTGGTCAGACTCGGGGCAGGACTGCAATCGTTGGTTAGAAAGTGTCTCAGAGTTACGGCTGCCTGTTCCGCTAAATCTCATTTCATCCTACTGATGGATGGATGGACAGATGGCTGCATGGTGAAAGCAGCATTATCAGATGGAGCCTCTGAATGATGGATAGCCCTCTTTCTACTTTCTCCAAACCACCATCGATCCAGGCCATATTTCAGTGGTCAGAAGCCCAGTAATATTAAGACACACAATCGGGTTAGGTTACTTGCAGTGTAAACCTCTAAAACAGAAATTCTAACACCTCTGCTTTGCTGTCAAGAACTACGCTGAAAATGTTAGTTTCATTCTTTCTAGCTGCTAACCCAATGAATTCCAACAGCTCAAAGTGCAAAGCCCAAAGGGAACAGCTGGGCTCCATTCCTAGGAACACGTGAAAAGCTAGCTTGCCTGCCAAATTTTTTACTAGCCAGTTCTGTGAAATGAACTCTGCAGCAGTAGTGAGCAGATCTGTGAATATGTGTATCCAGTGGAGTGTGAAGCTATTGGAACCATACAAACCACAAAGTTTTTCAGTGACATAATCACTAACCTCAAACACGTAGAGCCTTGAATATACCAAGTGAACTACCAACATCAAGGAAGGCGAGTAAAACCAGAACAGATTAAAATTTTGTCTTTTGCACATAACCCTAAAATGCTGTTTCTATCTAATCTGCCTGCTTGGCTTCTACTTTCTTGTGTACATATCAAATCATAAGTACTAATCCTTGCCTGTTTCCACAAGCACACTTCAGCATCCATTTGCTCTGTCACCTTCTAAACACTCATCTCAGCTTGACTATTTGGACTCCATGCCCTCTTTGTTCCTTCCACATTATCCTGTGCTCTCAGACAGCAATTCAGACTCGTATAACTGGACTTTGTATCACAGTTATTTCCACTAATGTGAATGGAAGAAATGGACTGACTCCAGCTTTGTGATAGAGTCCCAGAACCCACATGCCCTCTTTTTTCTTAGTTCACATATCCCCAAATGACTTCTCTAAATGTTTCATAGCCAACTATAACGCGAATCACCTTGGCTTAGCTCCTAATCCACCCTCTCTTGACTGTTTTGCTGCTACCCTGAGCCCAATACTCAGGTAATTTGTTTGTATTCATTTGTGGGTTCAGAAAAGTGTATCAGTGGAATGGCTACTGTCATTCTTGCTGTAATGGTAGTGTACTTTAATATATTTCTTAAAGATTTTATTTTAGACAGAGAGGAAGGGAGGGAGAAAGAAAGGGAGAGACATCAATGTGTGGTTGCCTCTCGCATGCCCCCTACTGGGGACCTG